CCCCAAAACCCCAAAACCCCAAAACCCCTAATATCAATAAATGCTTGCAATAAAGTTTTAATTAATTAAATGATATATCAGAATTTCTCATTTTTAGCTGCTCTATACATGCGGAATGGAATTTTTAAATAGTATTTCTTCCTAAAATGCTCTTCAAAGATGTTAAAGTTATAAGCCTCTAAGTCTTTAAGGAATTACTCTGCTTCTATTGAAAGTAAAAACGCCCTATGAGTATGCTTTGGCAATTTATCTCCGAACTCTCTTCCAAGCTCAAGGTGCTTCTTAGCATATGCTGCAACTCTAAACTTGAATAAAACAAATAATACTTACTCTAAAATTACATCGAAAAATTCTTCTTAAACTATACCTTCTCTTCTAGAGTCCCATATTTTATCGAAATGCAGATTGTGCTATTATTTCATGATGATGAATATTCAATCTTACCTTCAATAGTAGCTCATTAGGCATATAGCCTCTATTTTTAGCAAGATAAAATGGAATCTTTTTTATAACATCACAAAGACCTATACATCTACCTAAATGAGATGCTGCAGATAATGCATTTTTATCGTCTATTCTAAGGAGGTGCAAATTTAGATAAAGTAGCATTGATCTAGTGTTTTCAGCATATACTTCTAATTCTTTCATTGTTTAGATATCACCTCTATCAATGTCAAACATCTAATAGTTAACTATTCTCTTCAGTAGATTCATGTTGATGGGTGTTTTTGACATTGCTTCTTAAAGCACTCTTGTCACTGGTTCCTTTGCTTTATGGCCTTTTTCTATGTCTATAAGAGATTGTTCCCACCACATCAGTCTCGTATTACATATTGATGTTTCCTTAGATATTTCTCTTGATTTCAGCGCTTCAAGGAATAAAGCGTGAATCCCATAGTAATAAGGCTGTAGAGATTTTGGAAAATTCTGTCCAGCAACGTGAGAGTAGTAGTCATACTTTCTAGAAGTTGAGATCATCAAAGATTATTTACCTCACTTATTCGATGCAGTAGTTTGTGGCATTATCAAAATCTAAGATAGAACCCTTTACTTTTCCTTCTGACTTATCTTCAGCCTTTAAATCTTATTTAGATTCTTATTATCCTTTATTTTCTTATGTTGGTGTTTCAGTTGTACTAAATCTTCTACTCTAAGATCTCAAAAGCTATGATATGAACTAACTCTCCCTTTTTATAAGTTTTAAAGCTGACATTAATATTATTAAATTAAAAATAATTAATCGTTAATCATTCAAATTCAACTTCTTCAGCCCAGATGTTAAGATTTTCTTTTAGCAATTCTATAATCGACTAAGCTTCTTGAAAATTTTCTTCTGAACACTCATCAATTTATTCAAGAGCCTCTTCTAGTTGATTTTTAGCGATCTCACAAGCTTTTGCTGGATCGCCCATAACTTCATAATAGAAGACTGAAAAATTTAGAGCTAATCCCAAAACTACTGAGTTGTAAGGTTTCAACCCTTTCTTGCAAATCTCCATCGCTTTTTTATATGATTCAAGAGCACCTTTTTTAAACTTGGGAAGTCTTTCTTTGGAGGCTTGCGAGGAAATTGCTTCACTGGCATATCTGAAATAATCCCCAACCATTTTATGAAAGAATGCTCTTTCTTCAAAGGCTGCATGAGTTTTCTCCTTTTCAAGTTATTTTTCTACTCTTGAAATCACTGAATTCCTAAGAACATCAACAATGCTTTGGCAATTATTATGCAATCTCTCCTCAATTACTGCCTTATACCCATCAATTGCATTTTAAGTGCTTTGAGAAGCCTTTTGAGATTATTCAACTGCCATTATTGTTCTCCAGGTTGTTCTCTTTGGAGTTACAAGATTTTTAAAAGCCACTGAGAGGAGATTTCTTTCATCAGGGGTAAAGTGATTTTTAGTTTACAAAAACTACTTCAAGAAATCAAACATATCATCGAATCTCTCTCCTTACTCAGCTACTCTTGCCATAAATAAAGTTGGTTCCATTAGAATTTTAAGTTTTTAAATTATAACTTGATATAATGTTTGTAAAAAAATACTTTGGCACTAATTTTTATGTGAATGGGGTTTTGGGGTTTTGGGGTTTTGGGG